GATGTGATTCTTGGGCTCTCTGACAGGTGGATAGGCCTAGTTGCAAAGGAAACTCTGGCAAAATTTTTGAAAATTTGGGGAGTTAGTTAAATTTGGGGTTGCTGATGTGGGGTATGAAAAACTGAGTTGTATAAGGTGCTAATAGTGGACCCTGATCCTCATTCGAGGATGAATGATCTTAAGTGGGGGAGGATGTAAGGCCCCGTAAAAGTTTTCCAAAAAACTCGTATTCCGTGATGCCGAAGTAGGCGTAGAGGTTAATAGAAGTAGAAATTCTTCGACCCTGGGGAGTTGAAGGAAAATATTGGGCAGAAATAGGCATTTCTGCGGCCCGTTCTGCGACCGCAGAACCACTATGCGGACCGCAGAATGGCCGCAGAGTGGAACAGTCTTTTGGGCCATTTTAATGTCATTTTTGCGGCCCATTATGCGACCGCATAAATATTTCGCGGACCGTACTATGCGACCGCAGAACCATTCTGCGGTGCATTATGCAACCGCAGAATTGGTCTGTGGGCCGCATAATGACCGTAGACCTGGTCAGTTCCTTTCCAGTTTTGGCACCAAATTTTGCGGTCATTTCGCGGACCGCATAATCATTATGCGGTCGCATATGCGACCGCAGAACCTGTTCTGGAGCTTCATTTTTGGGGTTTTTAAACCCGACCCTATTCCGTTAAAACACACCCCATAGATCATTTTGAGCGTATTTTTGATACCTTTAGAGTGAAAGAGAGAGTCCTAGAGGGAGAAATTAATCTTCATCAAAACTTTCTCTTCAATTCTTGCTTAAACCTTTGAAGATTAGCAAGAGAAGCACCCTAGGTCTTCATCCCAAGAGGTAAGAATCTATGCCCTAGCTCTTAATTTCGAAAATTTACAAAAAGTGGGGTAATTAGGGAGACACTTATTGGGTGTGAGGGTTGTTGTCTTGCATGCATGTATTCTTAAAGTATGTGGGAAGGTTGTGAGCTAAATATTATAGAGAATGGGTTGGGGAATGATAGAATCTTTCACAAAGGGCCTTAAAACATTGATGCTCACCTAGTGTTTGATAATATGCTCTAATGATCTAGAATCATGACCATCTCCCTAATTTTGGTTCAACTTGTTATATTTCCAAAATAGATTGAAGTTGCTAAGAATTCCGGAATATTTTAAAAGTTTAAGGAAGCTCAATTAAGGTATATTGGCTAAACCCCTTCTTCTTAGAATCAAATCCCACGGTGTTCATGTAATTGGTGTAAGTCCCAAAATTGATCATTATAGAATTGGTTATTCCTAATGTGTTTGTGCTGAAGGATGTATGTTCAATATTTATTCTAAATACTTCATCATGTCATCTTGCCATTTGAGTATGTGTTCCAAAAGTGGAATATGTGTTAGAAATATTGATACTTCATGTCAAGATCGAATAAAGGTTGTTATGCCAAATTATATGAAATGCCTCTATGTGCCTAAGTTTTCCAAATTGCTCATATGTGAATTTAATGTCTTGAATGGGAAGCCTTATTGTTGTTGATAATGATATTGATGTTTGAATGTGGAAAAGAACTTGAATCATGAAATACGGCCAAGCGCCAAGAATAACTTTATAATTTGGGCCACTCGTGCCATTGTATTGAAAAGATGGGAAAAAAATATGAAGTGAGATGACTGATTGAAAAAGGGTGATGTCTCGAATGAGATGGCTTAGCCGATCGGGCCGAGATCGAACTCCGTGTAAGAATACGGTAGTATTGTGGATTATGGCATATTGGCACTAAAAACCATCCAACCTAATAATGCAGGAATTGACTTAAAAATCTATGTGATCCTTAACTTGATATTTTAGTAATATTTAAAGCTCATATTGCATTCTTGACTATTTCCCCCTGTATTTTTGTTCATTCTATTGAGACAGTGTTTTGGTTTTACATACTAGTACTATTCGACAGTACTAACGTCCCTTTTGCTGGGGGCGCTGCATCTTCAAATTGATGCAGGTGGTTCCATAGCAGACAGTGTTGATCACAGATAGTGCTGCATCCTCCTCTCAGTGGACTCGGTGAGCCCCATTTCATTCCGGGGTCATGTATTGTACCTTTTGTTTATATTGTGGTCACATTTTGAGGTATAGCCGGGGCCTTATTGGCGGCACCATCTTTACTCTCTTTTGTATCTTTAGAGGCTCCGTAGACACTATGTGGGTTGTATATGGGTGTTAGAAAGGTCAACGGATCATGTTGTGTTTTGGGCTCTTGTTCCGCTCAGTCATATGGATGTATGTATTTTGAAACTTAACAATGATGTAACAAAATGAAATGACTTAGTAATGTTTATATGTATGAACTTTCTACTGCCTAACTAATGAGAGCATGCCTTCTATGGATCATAGGTGAGTCGGGTAGATAGTTTCTAACAGGCTTGCTAGACCGGGTCCACTCGGTTGAGCGCCGGTAGCGCTCCGCAAGGTTAGGGCGTGACAAAAGTGGCAGTTGAGCTAGCAGCTTTTCGACTCCGAGATATAGCCATCCTTTGGTACGAGGGATGGGAGAGGTCTAGGGGACGTGATGCACCTCCGGCTGTTTGGGAGAATTATTCAGATGCCTTCCTTGACCAGTACTTACCGCGGGAGATCCAATAGGCTCGAGTCGATCAGTTTCTAGCCCTCAAGCAGGGCAATATGAGTGTCCGAGAGTATAGTCTCCATTTTGACTCATTGGCCAGATATGCACCATCCATAGTTGCTCCTATGCGGGACAGGATCCACAGGTTTATAGTAGGTTTGGCCCCAGAGTTCACCGAGGCATGTGCCGCCGCTGCATTGCAGGATAGTATCGATATTTCCCAGATTCAGGCATTCACCTAGAATATAGAAAGGGGTAGGCGTCGGCAGCAGGGCACAGAGAGGAATGAGCAAGGGCAGTGTAAGAAGATGAGATTTGCCAGGTCTCAGGAGCAGTCTCAGGGTAGTTATAGGCCCCGGTACTTCAGACGGCCACCTAAGCCTACGCCACCTCAGTTACAGGGTTACAGGTATGACCGCTATACTCAGTTAGGACCAAGTGAGAGCTCACAGGCGTCGGGTTTGCAGCGACAACGAGGTTCAGGGAAGACATGGTGATTTCCGCTGCGGTGTGACATCTGTGGTAGAGGATACTTGGGCCAATGCCGAGCAGGTTCTGATGCTTGTTATACATGTGGGCATCCGGGGCACATGATGCAAGATTGCCCAAATAGAGATTTTGGGGCTATGGCACAACCAGCGAGTGCAGCAACAGGATCATCTATGTTTGTGCTTCCTTCAGGGCATGAGTCTTAGTCTTCGGTTGGTAGAGGTCGAGGCAGAGGCAGAGGTTCCAGTTCAGATGGTAACCAGAGCCGTATTTATGCTTTAGCAGGTCGATAGGACCAGGAGTCTTCACCAGACGTTGTGACAGGTATATTGTCCATTTTCTCTCACGATGCTTATGCCTTGATAGACCCAGGATCTACTTTATTGTATATTACCCTATTTGTCGTAGGGAAGTTTAGTATAGTGCCTGAAATACTAAGTGATCCTTTTGCGATATCTACACCGGTCGGAGAACCGATTATTGCTAGAAGGGTTTACTGAGGTTGTATGGTGATAGTTTGTATTCGTCGGACCTCAGCCGACCTAGTTGAGCTAGAGATGATGGATTTTGATACTATCATGGGCATGGACTGTTTGGCAGCTTGCTATGCCATAGTTTATTGCCGAGCAAAGGTAGCCAGATTTCATTTTTTGGGTGAGCCAGTCCTTGAATGGGTAGGTAATACAGTGACACCCAGAGGTAGGTTTATTTCCTATCTGAAGGCGAGGAAAATGATCGCAAAAGGGTGAATTTATCATATTGTGCGAGTTAGAGATGCAGATGCTGAGATACCTACACTTCAGTCTATTCCAGTAGTCAAAGAGTACGCAGATATGTTTCCAGTTGAACTTCCAGGTATTCCTCCATAGCGAGAGATTGATTTTAGCATCGATTTGCTTCCGAGAACTCAACCAATATCCATCCCTCTGTATAGAATGGCACCTGCCGAATTGAAGGAGTTGACGGAGCAGTTAAAAGATTTGCTGGAGAAAGGTTTCATCAGACCTAGTACCTCACCTTGGGGTGCAACAGTATTGTTTGTGCGGAAGAAAGACGGCTTGCTGAGGATGTGTATCGATTATAGGCTACTGAACAAGGTAACTATTAAGAATAAGTATCCACTTCCAAGGATCGATGACCTTTTTGATCAATTGCAGGGGTCTAGATGCTTTTCAAAGATAGATTTGAAGTCGGGGTACCACCAGGTCAGCGTTCGAGAGAAAGATATTCCGAAGACAGCCTTCAGGACCTGATATGGCCACTTCGAGTTCCTTGTCATGTCCTTCGGGTTGACGAATACACCTGCCGTATTTATAGACTTGATGAATAGCCTATTCCAGCCATCTTTTAGATCTGTTCGTGATAGTATTTATTGATGATATTATGGTTTATTCACGTTCAGAGGAGGATGCGGACCACCTGCGAGTGGTACTCCAAACCCTCCATGATCGTAAGTTGTATGCTGAGTTTTCTAAATGTGAGTTCTGGTTGAAGTCTGTAGCATTCTTGCAGCATATTGTATCCGATGAAGGTATAAAGGTAGACTTGATGAATATAAGGTTTTTAAATACACAACAGGCCTTCACTAGTGTGATTAACATGCAAAGAGAGCACAATTTCCTTGTAATTGTATTGATGGAACCATTTCAGAATCAAAGACACAAACAAAGATACAGAAGAAGGTTGAATATGGAAGCTGCTTTGTCAAATGTTAATGGGAAGATCTGGTTATTCTTTGATCCTAATGTGGAATGGGAATTGATCATTGACATTTCACAATAGGTCACTGTTAAGGTGTTTCATCAAGACATTGGCCAACATGTCATGATAACTTTTATGCAAAGTGTACAACACTAGAGAGGCTGGATTTGTGGGGATAACTTATATTATCTTGCAAGTGACATGGAGATGCCTTGGATGGTAGGTGGAAACTTTAATGTGATACTTCATGAAGATGAAAAGATTGGTGGTCTCCCAGTGTACCCTCCTGTATATGAGGATTTTGCTTTTTGTATCAATTCAAGTGGATTATTTGATTTAGGGTACAACGGGATTCCATTCACTTGGTGGAATGGAAGATCTAATGCAGAATATATCTTTAAGAGATTGGATATGATATTGGTAAATCTTCTTTTCCAGAATCTATTTCCTACTATTGAGATTAAGCATTTGATAAGGACTGGATATGATCACGCCCATTTGTTCATGAGTTGTAGAGAACAAGCAGCAAACTATGTGGATAAGGACTAGATATGATCACGCCCATTTGTTCATGAGTTGTGGAGAACAAGCAGCAAACTATGTGAAACCATTTAGGTTTCTCAACCTTTGGACCAAACATGAATCTTTTAAAGAGGTGGTGAGGCAGAATTGGCAAGCAGACTTCATTGGAGATCCTTTTCTAATGTTCAAGCATTAGTTGAAGAATGTGACGGCTGCATTAACCAAAGGGAGTAAAGTCACTTTTGGTGACATATTCAAGCAGTTGGCAATCTTGGAAAACATAGTAAAGGTGAAGGAGATGCTGTTTGAGGAGGAGCCAACTATAGCTAATAGAATAGTTTTTCAACAGGCCCAGGCAGAATTGAAGAAGTATCTGAGTATAAAGGAGCAGTATTGGAAGCAAAAAGTTGGGATGACTTGGTTTGCTGAGGGTGACAGAAATACTAGCTTTTTTCATAATCATGTGAATGGCAAAAGGAAGAAGTTACAATTGAAGAGGATTCCTAATGGAGATAGAAACTGGATTGAGGATCGAGGTTAATTGGCTGTTGCTGCTATGGACTTCTATGAAAATCAGTTTACCAATGAGGATGATCCTACAGATTATTCTATGCTTGACAATGTGCCTTCTGTGGTGACTGTAGAGCAGAATATGGTATTGTGCAGATATCCAACATTAGAAGAGGTCACGGGACAGTTGTTGAATTGAGTGGAGACAGTGCCAAAGGTCCAGAAGGATTTACTGGAAATATTTTATCAATACTGTTGGGAGATTATTGGTTTTGATATACACAGTATTATTGTAAGGCCTCGTAAAATTTTCGCAAAGGAAATTAAGGTTTCGTAGTGTCGAACTAGGCTTACATATTTGAGAATTGTAGAAATTCTTCGCGGCGAGCTTGCGAACCACAACTCGGACTTTTTGGGTTGAACAATGCGCTGGGGAGTAAAGAAAACTTTATGCAGAAAAAGACATTTATGCGGCCCACTATGCGGCCGCAGAATCACTCTGCGGACCGCATAATGGTCGCAGAGTGAATCAGAGGCGGGGCAAGATTGGAGGAAGGTCTGCGGTACACTATGCGACCACAGACCAGTTATGTAGTGCATTATGAGACCGCAGAACAGGTCTGCGAGCTACATAATCATTGCAGATCCAACCAGACGACCCCGGTTTTGGAGCGTCAACTATGCGACCGATATGCGGGCCGCATAATAGTTCTGCGGTACGGTCCCCGATCGTAGACTCGATTTCGGCAAGTTTAAGTTTTGGAAATTTTACCCGACCCCATTTTGATAAATAGCCTTTGGGGCTTATTTTGGGGCATCCATATGATGATTTTAGAGAGAGGTAAGAGTATTTTAGAGAGAGAAAGAGGAAACCTAACATTCTAATCATCCATTATTGTCCCAATCTTCAAGAATCAAGGAAGCCAACCATAAGATCTTCATGTAAGAGGTAAGATTCAAACCCTAGTCTTTAATTTCGAGTTTGGGTATGAGATGGGTAATTTGGGAGTATGATTTTTGGATATGGGAATTGTTATTTATCACATGTGTGGGCTAGTAGGGATTGTGGGGAAGTTTTTGAACAATCTTGAGTGGTTTTGGTGTTGAATTAGTTGTGGAGTGAAGAAAATCTTGTGGATGAATCTTGTAGTGTAATTTGCACGCCTAGTGTTTGATAAAATATTCAAGTGAGCTGGAACTATGTACTCCTTCCTAATTTGTGTTCAATTTTTCTATATCTCTAAATAGATCGAAGTGGCTAAGATTTTCGAAATATTGTAGTAAATTAAAAGGCTCGAAGCAAGGTATGTTGGCTAAACTCCTCTCTTAGAATTGAATCACACGATATTCATGTAATTTATGTAAGTCCCGAGTGGTTCATTATACTATTTCGAATAAGCTTGTGTTGAAAGATATATGTTCAATTGTTACACCTCATGTTTTCGTACGTGGAAGTACGCCATAAGTAAATTGATATAAGTCCGAAAATAAGATATTACATTCCGCATTTTCATACGTTAAAGTTTCATCGTAAGCTAATCACGTAAGTTCGGGAATGAGAGTATTTTGGGCTGTTAAGTATTATGTTATTTCAAATAAGTGATAAGTTAATTCGCGAAGGTGAGAGGGTAAGCAAATCGAAAAAAATGAGTTCCGTAGAAGTTTGGCAATTTGGGGATAAAATACGGTCCAAGCTATAATACCCCGTATTCATGGACTAGTACCATACAAGATACCACATGACTATAATAGTATGGTGTACAAAGAGTATTAAAAGTGAGTAGTATTTTAAGTAATTTGAGACAATTCTTAATTATGTGGGTAATTGATTAATTATTGGATAGTGGAAGATTATCAAATTAACCATGAGATTAGTGGTTAATTAAGGGTGATTTTTGATAAGGCTTGGACCAAAAAAACGTGGCAGCCCTTGAATTTGGCAATAAAAGCCATTACATGACTCATAAGAGACATGGCAAGGTGTCTCCTTATTAGGACATTTAGCAAGATTTGCTTAGCTTTAAGCCTTGAACGTGAATCATACAAAAATTCTTTATGTAAGTGGGTTATACAAAATGTCAAAATGCAAAGAAATCTTATCTTGAATAAGTATCAAGAATCCAATACGTAAGTGGGTGAGACAAATGCAAAGAGCTATTATGTTGAATAAATGCCAAAGTTCATTCGGCAAGCAATTTATGCAGAATACAAAGCCAAGGACGATAGTCACTCCATATTATACTAGCAACGAGATTTTTCGATTTTAAAGGAATACGGTGTAATCCTTCTCAAGAATATCACACGGATTTTTTTCTACTTCAGGTATGTTAAGGTTATCCCTTCTTTCTTTTTGGCATGACCCAAATAATACTGAAAGAAACGAGCAAACGCATAATTTTCATAAATGACCCTAGTCATAAAAATATTAGGGATATCTACATTCTTGATTCCACATGTGAATTATTATTATATCTTCTGTTCATGGGTCTCGAAAAAATATGTATTTGATAAAATTTATCCGACAGGCATATTATTTTTATGACATTCTGAGAAAATCTTATTAACATATTTCTTAAGGCATATTATTTTTATGACATTCCGAGAAAATATTATTAATGTATTTCTTATGCATTTCATGCATTTATACATGTACATTGACCCATGACCAAATGGCGTTATATACGCATATATTATATGTATATGGGCTATGAGAAAAGGTTATGGCGTTATATATGTACCACCACCTGATCAGCTGGTATACATGTTGATGATTTGCCCACAGTGGCCGAAATGATATGATAGGGTGCCCTTAGAGGCTTGATGATGTTATGAACGCATATACCAATGCATGGTATGACATTTATATGCAAATGCATGACATTATAAAAATGAAATGATTCACAGAGCTATGCAGACGTACATGTCGAGTCTTTTACTCCATGTTTCTCGCATGTCTATTATTTACTGATTTTCATTCCTTACATACTCGGTATATTATTTGTACTGACGTCCCTTTTTCCTAGGGATGCTGCGTTTCATGCTCGCAGGTCTCGATAGACAGGTCGAGAGTCCTCCAAGTAGGCGATCAGCTCAGCAGAAGATATTGGTGCACTCCATTTGCTCCGGAGTTGCTTGTTTGATCAGTATGATTTAGACGCGCATTGTTTGGTATAGCGGGACTCTGTCCTGACTTTTATGAAAATTATGTCATGTACGTAAAAGACTTGTAGACATATGTCATGTACGTAAAAGACTGTATGGCCTTGTCGGCCTATGTTCAGTATACGAGTGGTTATTTTGGTCTTATAGGCCCGTATGTCTTATGTATAAGTTGGTATCACATATTGTATACAACTTATCTCACGGCAGCCTTTCGGCTCAGTTATCTATGATAGAATGACATGAAAAGATATGTTATATTGGTACTTGGTTGAGTAAGGTACCGGGTGCCCGTCCAGGCTCATCGGTCTGGGTCGTGACAAAAGTGGTATCAGAGCAGTTCTGTCCTAGGGAGTCTACAAGCCGTGTCTAGTAGAGTCTTGTTTATGGGTGTGTCGTGCACCATACTTATAAGCAGGAGGCTAACGGGTATTTAGGACTATCACTCTTTCTTCTTACTCTAGATCGTGTGGTAGAGCTCAATTGTAAGAACTAAATTTTCTAAACTCTATCCTAGTCATAATACAACGATGCCTACATTCAGAAAGACAGTTGGTAAGAGATATAGCTGTGGAAGAGTTGAGTCAGAGGGACTCGATTTTTGCATCATGCTTATGATGGATAAATATGAGGTATTCAGCAGATCATGTCTGTACTAAGACGTGTAAGCCTCTTGATAAGGAGCCTTAAGGCAAAAATATTTATCCACCTTTATGGCGAAAGACAATGAGAGATTCAGAAGATAAATACAAGTTTCAAGGAGTAAAAGAAGCAAGATGAAGAAAGGTACGAGGTACCCAGTTAATAAAGATTATCACTATTCAGGAAGGTAGATATAAGCATTTTGAGTTACCTTCAACAGTGACAGATGTATGTACAATTGGCCACATCGATCTCAGTTATGCCCTATGGGAGCTAAGAGACATAGTTTAAGAGAAGAACGGGTTATCAGGATCCGGCTGGGGATAGAGTAACCCAAAATAGTGGATGGATTGGTAGAGTTAGTTGACAATTTTCGAAGGATGGTGCAAACGTGGTAATGGATCTCCTTGTGAGAAACCTTGATGGTACACCCTAAAATAGTACAGCTAGATATGAGTACTACAAAGATAAGCACTGGAAGCCTAGAAGGGATAAATATTACCTTAGTGTGGCTCACGTCCCTAGTAGAGCGAGAATGTTAAGCAACCGCAAGAGCCACTGGATGGAGCAAGGGGAGCTAAAAGCAAAAGAATGTCTTGTTCGAGTTTTCAGAATAAAGTGATAGACATAAATGTTAGCGGGAAACAAGAAAAGAGTTAATGAAGCATCATGAGTAAGATATGATACATGGATGACAACGGTGGATCAAAAAGATGATAGTATTACAAAGTCTATAGTGAATTGAAGGAAAAGACGAGAGGTGACAGGCCTAGAGACAACAAAAGAGTATAGGCCATAAAGTCATATCCTCACTTCGAAAAATAAGTTCGTGACTCCAACGCAACTAGCAGAAGGAAAAGTTAGACCCCAGAATAATAGAAATCTGTATGGGCTGGTGAACAAGATATACTAAACATGAATTAGGGATTGAGTGATTGGATAATAGTCAGCATCATGAGAATTTCATATTTCGTTCCGGCGATAATAGAGTGGACAACAGAAGATGATTCATGAGAAATTCAGAGAATGGTCATTCAGGAAGACGCTTCCCTAAAGCAAGCAAGGTGAGTAAGATTAAGCTTAAGGGACTGTGTGTGCCAATTACACTAAGTGTCACCCCTCGTGAGTAAGAAATTTTCTTATCCTTGATACTGAAGGATTACCGCGAGGCGAGTAAGGATCATCGATGATGTGAAAAGATGCTAAAGATGAGAGGGTAAAACATCTATACGTAGATCATCATAGCACTAAATCTTAGTACTCCCCTAAAGGTGGGAATATGGTGTGATGTGACATTTGGTCAGAATTAAGTGGTTCTAGTAACTATAGAAATGGTAAAGGAAGAATGTGATAAGAATGAAAAAGGGACGAGATTGCACTTATTCAAAGCCTATAGATATGCTACGATTCCAGAATATTATGCAAACACAATGTCAAGGAAAGGAAGTAAGGGTCCCTGCCCAAGATGTTATTGA